TTAGTAAATCTTTCCCTGGAGGCTCCAGGTCTAAAGATGTGCAGCATTGCCAGGTTAGCTGCATGCACTTGTACAGAGGGTATTTCTCCATAGCAATTTTCCAGTGGTATTTTACAATGTCAAAAAGTTCCTATCTGCGTCTTGAAACCTGTTTAAAAGTACTTACTTGCTCTCTTACTCAGTAGCTGCAATAAAATTTTATCTTACTGACTGAACTGAAAACCAGATTGCACACATTATCAGGCATTTTTAACTCATCTGTTTTCATTTAAAATTAGGTATTTTTCCTCTCCTGTCCCAGATATTTAGGCTTTGTACGTAGATGGCATCTGCTTCACTCCTCCACAACCTGGCCATCCTGTGACAAAAGGCTGAACAGCCCATCATTGAAAACACAATTCTTGTAAAAATTCTCACCCTTTCATCCTACACAGAAAGCAGAATGGTGCCATCTTCTCCCCCTTGTTCCTTCCCACTGCTTTAAACCTCATAGGCTACGTGGGACCACATGTATCGGGCATTTCAAACAACTTACCTCTATGACTGCCAAATCAGCAACCAGTTTGGTGAAGACACTTCCTTGTACCAGGACTGCTAGCACTTCTCAGACCTTATCAGAGACACCCCAGTGATATCTTTCCCCTTCCTTTTATTTCTAGGGAAGCAAAAAAAAAACAGAAAGAGACATCCTCTCCTTGATGTAAGGGAAGCAAAAAAAAAAAAAGAAAGAGACATCCTCTCCTTGATGTCATTTTTCCTTCTATGAATGAACAAGGGAAGGGAAGGGTATATACCAAGCATTACTAATGAGCATGTTATGCTTCCCACAGCTTTGTCCAGGGGAATACGTTTTCCTTTGGCATAAGAAAGCTATTGTCCTAAGAGAAGCTCAATAAGAGGCTTCATTGATTAAAAAAATAAATAAAACAACAGCAGAACAGCCAGTAGAGAAGTTGGTCTCATTAAAATAAGGAGTTCCATATAGGCTAACAAGAGCTCTAGCATATTAACTGCCAAGGGAAAACAAAAGACAGCCTGATTCACAGGGAGAACTCAAAACATGAACAAAGCAAAATATTCACACTGCAGCTATCAGAGGAATGCTCAGCATCTGCAGTTTTGTGGCATGCCTAACAAACACTAGTCTTGCAAAAAAAAAAAAAAAAAGAGATTGAGGAAAATTGTGGCACTTGAACTTCAAGGGCCTGCTCTTCTAAAACAAGTTATTTTGTAAGCCCATATGTCAGAGCTCCCCAGAAAGCCAAAAGGCTTCACTTATTATCAGGGCATCTGAAAAACACTTAACAAAAACCCCCTCTGATGATGAGAGCTACAGTGCATGAATTTTGAGTTGAAAAGTAATACAGTAACAATTGCCCATTTTCAGATGCCAAACTGTTCAGCTCAGAGATTGCAGGGAAAACAGATTAATGTAGCCTTAACACTTACTGCGAGAGGCACAGGATGAGAAGACCCAGATCTGCCACCTTCAAGTAGTCAGCCTGTAAATGTGCAGAAGGTGCTGTGGTGAGGTGAATACTGCAGTACCAGGCAGAGTCATAACCAAATCTGACTTCTTCTAAAACCAGTTGGGTTCCCTGAATCAGAAAGCTGTACATAATGAATGAAGTAAGTATCTGATACTGAATTTTGGCAGCTCCAGATAGGACTGCATCAGTTTCTACACATGCCAGTTTTATCCACTCTCATTCAACAGGCATTTGGTGTTCAGACACTGAAGTTTGTGAAAGAAAGGACCTCAGAATAAAAGTACACTGTAACACATCCCCCACATAGCTTCAGGCCGTGCCATTCTTGTTTCCAGGCAGACCTTGATACCCTCAAGGTCCCTTGGGACAGAAGACTGAATAAGCCCATCACAGTACAAACAATTCTTTTAATAATGCTTCCCCTTCCTCCTACTGTTTCTGGTGTTGTTTCTTCCCCATTTTCCCCTCCCTGCTTCACCCCTTAAAACAAGGAAGACACCAGAAACTCATGAGGTTTTCCCAACCAGGGGGCAACCAGTGCAGTTCCAAGCTCACTAAGTACAGAGGTCCCCTACCACCAACCCCACTTTCAGAAAACCCCTCATTTTTGCTGGTACTTCTGCTGCCAATGGCTCTGTGTGATGGAAGGAGAGGAGCTGTCACCTAGCCACACTTACAGCTAGATCAATAAAGAGACACTGACTTACTGGGAGACAGGTGGTCAGCCACAAATTATATATCAGGAGAGGCAAGAATTGCCTTCAGCTGGTTGAGTGCCAAACCTCCAGTGAAGGACTAGAGCTATGGATCAACACCAGGTAAGAGAGATGAGAAAAAGATCCCTATCTATTGACACATGGCATAGGGGCAGGCATTCCTCAGGAAAGGGGGTGCAGACACACCCTGGACATGACCCACACAGGCTTGTGAGACCACAGTTTGCCTCTGCTCTCCACAGAGATGCCCAGCACTTTGCTCCCAGACACTCTGAGAAACAGCAGAGTCAGCAAATACTACAGCACTTTGCACAAATACTTCAGGGTGGTAACACATGCTCTTAGATACTCCATGAGATAGCCTGCTTAGGATCAGCTGTATCAGGTTTTACAGATCACTCAGTGGGCACCAACCAGCAAGACATGCTACACTAATTACAATCCATTCTGTAGTACAAGATGAACCGAGTCCAAATCCCATTTTACTTGACTGAACAGTTTACATATAAACAAACAAAATCCACAACTCTACAGATAGCTGAAACATTGATGAAGCAGCCATTGACCTTGCTTAAGTAGAACCTAAAGGGATTCACAGGCTCATTAAACTGCCTTCTGTTAACAGGCTCATTAAGAAAACACTTGGGTAGAAACATTTCTACATCTTCACCCTATATTTAAGATATATAACATCATCTTCTATTCCATCAACACCCAAAGTCACAACAGTCTAACCCAGAGCAACTGGATTAGTCTCGACAGTACCTACTGAAACCCATGTTTATAAACACACTGAAATGAAAGAAGCTGTCATGTCAGTATCTGTTGAAACCTACTACAGGATAGTCAAGGTTTTTTTTACAGACACATCTACGAACATGCAAAAGAAAAGGGGTAGGCACAAGAGACATCCACTGAACGGAGCGCTACTCCATCACTACAGCAATTTCAGAGCCTTTTCGTTGCATTACCGAGTCAGCAGGAGCTCTGCTTCCCTGGGGAGGCCTCAGAGGCACGAAAGAGAAAGAACCAGACCAGTCAGTCCGAGGTGATGGGCTTTAAGGCGGCAACCAACTCCCTACATTAAGGCACGCTGACTGCCCTCCCCAGACTGCCTTTCCACGCATCTCCGTGAAGCGCACACCAGCAGAGGCGGTGAGCACGCTCTCCCCTACCAAATGGCCACAAAGGTCCTGGGTACACCTGTCAGAGCAGAGAAACCCCCTTGAGATCAGGGAGGAGCACTTCGTCTCGCCAGCTGCCATCTCCGCAGGAGACATGCAGACGGCTGCTTTCCCACAGGAGCATCCAGTTTGGGCAGAGGCTGGTTAGCAGCAGGCACGCTGCCCCAGCTGCTCCCCCCACACACAGGCAAGCTCTTCTCTCCCTCCCATTTCTAACCCACGCTTCTTCCAGCAAAGCAACACGGAGGGGAGCATTTTTTGATGCCCATTTAGCAGGCAGCTGTCTGGCCACAATCAGGAGTAGCTTATTATGACTTAAATATAAAATAGTGTATTATTCTAAAATATCCACCCGGTACAATTTCAAATGCATAGGCCAGTTAGGCCTTATAGGTCCCAAAGGAATACATGTACTTTTTCCCATGTCTTGATCTGACACTATGCCAAAGGTGACACACAGCATCCCTGGAACACGGCCAGCTTTTGGGCAAAGGAAGGAGCCAGACGCTTTTCGGCTTATTAAGCAACATGAATGAGTGTTTTAGCCAAGAGCACTGGGGCAAATTTCCTATAGAAACAGCACTGCATCCTCAAACGCCTGCGTAGGGCACAGGAGAGACTGGTTTGAAAGCGGTTATGCAAAAACTCTCCCCTCTCCCTTCCCCAGGGTAAGTTTCAAGGCACTTCCGACAGCCGCGACTGAGTCGCTGGATGAGCTGCTGCCGCTGGACGGGTGACGGGGCCGATGCCAGCGAGCGGCTCCGCCCAGCACCGGGCTCTGCCGGGGCTCCCCGACCCGCGGGACTCAGCGCGTTCCCAGCGCTGCCCCTGCCGACGGGCGGGACCCGCCGAGCGCCGCCGCTCCGGAGCTGCGCGCCCGGGACGCCGCGGCGAGCGGGGCTCCGCC